TTTAAAACCAAGGTTTGTGGCAGTTGAGGAAACATCAATCACATCATCACCAATTTGAATGATCGGTGGGTCAATGTAGGCTTAATTACATGCTAATGTGACAAACTCGTGGATACACATTCCGGGAAATACGTACAATTCACAAGTTAAAATCGAAGTCAAAACCCAGTTCATTTAATTATAAATAGAGGTTTTACAAAAAATAATGCGCCAGTCAAAGTAAGCCCCCTAATATCCACGACAAAACATTGGGCTGCCTGTGGTTTCTATAAGTAAAATGTTGCGACCCAAAATAGACCCTTTTCTAGTTCCAAATTACCGCTGTGTTTCTTGATTACAGACTCATTTGCACAGGGTTAGCCTCGAGTGTGTGCAGAATATTCACGTGTTCCAGTCAAGGTCCGTCGAGTTTCAAAGTGTTTGTATTGATGAAGTTGTGCATTCTTTACTTTACCGTTGGCTAAGCCTGTGCAAATGAGTCTGTAATCAAGGAACACAACGGTAATTTGGAATTCGAAATTTGGTCTATTCTCTGCGGGAACAATGGCCGCTATCTTGAAATTTACAAAACGAATCCCCATACTAAGGCCCCATATTCCTTCGGCAGGGATGACAAAATGTGTAAATCTCCACAGTCGGGAGCCAAAAAGCTGCTAAAAAGGTAACACATATCCCGGGTTAGGTGTCGAGGTTTATGTTCGAGAAATTCGAGGTTAAATAAAGTTTATGTGTGTATGTATGTATGTATGTTGATCAAGTAGGGAAATTGAACATTTTTTTTGATCATCAATTTTGGTTGTTTGAATACACCGCGACCCTTAACAAAAGTTGATAATTCTTTTCAGGTGGAAATGTAATATACTTTGTCTTAAAACACAAAAATGTAGCACTTCATTCGGCTTTAACTAGAGATTTATTTAATCAACGCAAACAGGATGGGGAAATGCTTTTTTTGAGAGAATCAACCATTTCAGTGCTCAAAGTAAAGAAAACCTAGTCAAGAACAAGAATTCCTCTTCCCATACCAGAGCGCATGCCGAGTAAAACGATGAAAGACGGAAGAACAAAGTTGATATTGACTAATAGTACTATTTAGTGACTAATAGTCGCTATCACTCAATCAGAACTGTTCATTACACAAAGACAAATACACAAGAGATCATTTGTGACCTTTACACGATATTGACAATTACAATTATTCCCTTAAAAAATATAAATTTTTCAAAAGAGCAGTTTCCTAATAGCTATTGACCGTAATTTCATAAGATTTGAAAAGATGGCACATGATGAAACTCGCAGTTTTTGAGATGTACTKACGAGCATCGTAACTCTGAGGCCTTCACTTTTCATTGTTCATGTTTTGAATTGTCCGATTTTTTAACTACTCTAAATGAGCAAATTAAGAAGRGCTGTACTTTGATCAGAAGCATTATAAGGCTATTTGGATTAAGAGTTTTGCTGCGCGAACCAAGTGAACGCAAGCAATTCTTAGTCATATTTTGACTATAGCAAAAATCGTCCCTGTAGCTCAAACCGTGTTTTGTTTTGGTTTTTTTTAATTGAAAACAAAAAAGTATTTTTAAAAACCAAAAACAACGCCTTACATTCTTCATCATACATTACATAAATCCAAAAGTAGAGTGAATTCCAAAAAATTTAGCCTTGCCGCCGTATGTTCGATTTTTGAGACAGACGCTCTTAATATTTTATCAGGAGCATTGCGTCTAGTCACATGACTAGATAATACTTTTTCCCTACCTTCCATCCCAAATAACTAACCACTTACCTAATACAGTAACTGTTGATGAACAACTAATTGCTCCTAATATACAAGTAGCAACACAAGTGTACTCTCCAYTATCAGCAACGTTCAAAGACGTGATTTCTAGTGTTTGTACATCGCCATTTCTAGATATTTTATATTTTTCGCCATTAGTGATAGGGCTTGTATTTCTTTTCCATGAAATCTTGTAAGGCAGTTCGGAAGGCATTAATATACAGGTGAGGTGAGCGGGCACTGTGCTAATGATACTACAGTTTTGAAGTGGTTCGATGAATCTTAAAGGAGCTGTAAAAAATATATATAATGAACAATAAAGCGTTTCTAAGTGTAACTTACATTTTGGTTATTGATGAGTCTGCAATATCTTATTAGGAAAGACCGCAGATGCGTCATTAACAGCCCATTTTCTGTTGTATTCCCCTTTACTAAATATTGAAAGGGTAGGCCCAAAATACAATTTCATCTTGCTGTCCTTGATGCCAGATGATGACGCGATTGTTCCCCTCATCTATATAAGGAAATAACCCTGTCCCTTCATCTAAATAAGGAAAGCATTGTTCGTTTGTTTTCAAAATTATTCGAGGGTTTTCCTGAACATACTGAATCGAATTTGAAGCCTTGTTCGCTTGTTCTACGGATTATTTTTGAGGAATTTTTCTTATAAATAAATCGTAAATGTAGCTGATCTCACTATCTGAAGACAAGGACGAATTAAATCCCCAGGCATGAGCCATTTTATTGAATAAACTTGCGCATTTGAGTGTTATTTTAGGTTTAAGTAACACGTTATCGCCGTTTTAAAAATATTTTGATTTGAAATGGTGAGAATTACTATGAAAACTCTTATTTTGCATACTTCTTACAGACATGAAGTGTTCATTAGGGTCCAATGTTTTACTTGCCAACTGCAAAAGGATTGCCCGTTGATAATGCTCGAATGTGCCGAGTATTCGTTCAGGAAGCCCTAACTGAAGATATTTCCTTATTTTAGAAACTTAACGGAAAGATCTTTTTTTTCAAAGCAAGCGAAAGAATTAAGACGAATAGTGGCCAAAACAAAACTACTCAGTAAAATGCATAGCAGTATTTGGATTTCCGATTTACTTAGAGCTGCGCTCCAAATCTAAAMAGGTAAACTAATGATGTTGGCTCGCCATATYATAAATCATGCACTTAAACATTATTTGAAAGTGTTCAGCAGTAAACATGTTTAATTCTTTCTAAGAAGAAAGTTTTATTGACTACGATTCAAGTAATGATATAAGGTAAAATGCAATACTAGTATTGGGATCGATAACGTTTTATTTGACGACAACGACAATAACGAGGTGTTGTTTYCTAAGGAGTTCGCAAAACGAATTTTGGAACCGTAAACTGAAACGAGGCCGTAAGATGACGAAACAACTGGCATCGAGTTCAAAGCAATTCAAAGTGGACATGTGGTACATAGTCCATACATCTCATTGGTTAAAAGAGGGCAACGCCCACTTTGGACCTACCCTCTCAGTTTTTAGTGAAAAGAGAATACRGCAGAAACTGAGTTCCCTCTTTTAATGACGTATTTGCGGTTTTTCATAATAAGATATAGCGGGCTCATTAGAAAGACAAAGATGGCGGTTAGATTGATTTAATCGAAAAAAACTAAGGAAGTTAAAAGACCATTTAATTCATGTTCAAAATATGGAAAGGCAGATCCAAGTGAGTAATTAGTGATTTATTTGGTCTCGCTGCGCTGTTGTGCAAATGATACTACTCGAGCCACAAATAAACAATATGTCCTCTAAAAGTCATGTTATTGTCTTATTATAAAGACCAAGCCTGTGTTATCTGTAAAACCTGAGGCCAGGGCGGAAAAACAGTCGAGCTCTTGATATTTTACGATTCAATTAATAGTTTTATTATGAGTAAGCAACTGTTTTCTCCACTGTGACCTTGAATGAGATTGACATGATAATGCAGATAATGCATTTCATACGCTATCATCGAGATTGGCAGAATGTTCTTGACCAATCAGATGCGAAATAGCGAATAAAATTTACAATTCATATTACTTACTTATTGCTAAAAAACTGTGAATGTGCAGTCTACGTATTAGAATTTATATAGTTTAGAAATAAATGAGACTGACATAGACAATAAAAAAACAAGACGCTCTTAGAGCGTATACTGGGTTGCCTTGTTATGACGTCATTCCAATGTTTTGATAAGCAAAATCTCATAAAAATCAACGTCTGTAATCTCTTTTAGCTCTAAAATGGAGTCATTTAATTTTTTGAAAATACTTTGTAATACCTAACTTTAGAGGAAAAATCAAAACTGAATCTGACTATGGGATGAAATCGAAACAAGACYAAATTGGCTCAGAACTTAGTGAGTTTATTTCACTCAGAAAGTTTTTGTTTACTCGCCGATATAAGACGAGCTTTTCTACAAATTGCTTTACTTATATTATTCTGCACGTCAAAGCTTCGAGTTTAGCTTCTGGCTTGACCGAGATTGATATCAATTAAGCCGTGGAAAAATAAACAGTGCTGCGTTATGTATGTCACACTATTTATCAACCTAGCTTGCCACGACCCGACAATATGAAATTGCCCAAACTTGCCCACGGTAAATAAACCCGATGAAAGAAGTTATGTCAGTATTTCACTCATAAAATATTATTTTGCTCACTCAGTTAAGCCAGCTTTTTCTACGAATTCCCTTAGAAATATCAATCAGCTTGTCTTTATTCGGGTTTGTATATCACTGGTTGTTTTTTAGAGCAAATCTTCGAGTTGTTGACCGAGACGGCGTTTATGGTCTGATATCGTTTAAAGCCWAATTAAAAGAATGCATTGAGAAACACTTGATTTATATGGTAAGTTAGGCTGATTTTTCCTCAAGATTCCATCGGAGTTGGTATTCTTTTTGTTCTTTAGTATTTTTTCAATTTTTTCTTTTATCGTTTATCATTTTATTGAAGATATCATTGCGTAAAGCTGACTGTTATTAAAAGTGTGTGCCGTGGCATTTAATCTTGTTGATTGCCCTTACAAAATTATTTTAGTCTTCCTTGGCTTACATTAAACCACGAAACGAAACGAAACGACACAAAATGCGAATACAGATGTCGTAAAATGCGAAACGACAGAATGTAACCTGAGGCTTTGTGAGCTTACTCACGAAGTTGGATGAAAACTGTGTAGCTCCATGTTTTAGAAAATTAAAGATTACTTTGAATCTCAGTGRGAAGAACAGTGTAAACTTGCCATGTACCAAAAGCCACAAATTTATAAACTATATTACTTTACAAGTTCAAGACTCAGTTACTCGTGTTGTTGTGGCGCCATTTTGAATGCACAGGGACCCCAATCGAATCATAATATATGACAGCAGAGGAAATAATTTAGCGCCAAACTTTTTGCTTCTGAACTTCTTTCAATGAGGTCWGCCTTTTGGAAGTGTGGCGTTTAAAATTCTTTGAAGCATTTTCCTTAATGTTTTGCCGTCGAGTTAGAACGGTCTGGTGCTGAAACAGCTGTAAAAAAAGTCATTATTAGCATGAATATCACTTTAAGTATCAATTTTGATTTAACCACATGTTTATGTTAGTTATGCATAGTTTTTGCTGCATGCTTTTCTTAGAAAAAAAAACCAAAAACTATAAATAGATTCAATCCACTTTTCTCACTTTTCTCTTTGTGGTCTTCCTTTGTGCTGTCATATATTATGATTTGATTGGGGTCCCTGTGTATTCAAAATGGCACCACAACAACAAGAGTAACTGAGTCTTGACCTTGTAAAGTAATATAGTTTATAAATTTGTGGCTTTTGGTACATGGCAAGTTTACACTGTTCTTCTCACTGAGATTCAAAGTAATCTCTAATTTTCTAAAACATGGAGCTACACAGTTTTCATCCAACTTCGTGAGTAAGTTTACAAAGCCTCAGGTTACATTCTGTCGTTTCGCATTTTACGACATCTGTAAAATGCGAAATGACGGTTTCGCATTTTATTGTGTCGTTTCGTTTCGTGGTTTAATGTAAGCCGTCTTCGTTCGAATCGAAAAACTCGAACAAACCTTTTTATGCTTTATGTGTTCGTTTATAGCATTTAATCTCACTGAATCAGTGAACACGAATGAGAATAAATGACTTACTAGTAAAGCTCCGTGATGAACTTCTACCGCGTGAAATTGAAGGTCGCTAACTTTATTCAATGATGGACTTTTCTCATGTCCCGATAAAAAGCTAAAGAAATAATTTTTTTTGGCCACATATATCCTCAAACAACATGCACGATTCGATTCCACAATGGCCTGCATGTCGCCTGCATGTTACTGTACTCTTGCACATGAAGTTATCGATACGTCATCCAATCCATATATGGGTAATATTGCGCAATTTTTCCATTTTGTCGAGGAGGGAAAAAAACCAGACGTATTTTAAGAGTGGTTTGCCACAGGCAACCCAGTAATAAGCAAATTATGAAAGGGTGTGCAGTACACTAAAGGAATTAAGGGTGACTACTAACCATCTTCCTCAGGTGACTGAAAGCGACCCTATGAAACAATTGAGTAAATAATTTTTAACAAAAAGAATAGTTTAGCAAATCACAAAATAAATATACGTATGAAAGTAAAACTAATATCCTGCACTTAGAACCATTAATTGACATTGTGATACAATAACAATAACAAAAGCAAAACAATGTTATACCTTAGATGGACTAGAAGGACAACTAGACGATGATGGTTCTACTTCGACTTTAAATTTGTCAATATTTTTCTTCAATTTTTCAGACATTGTTCCCAAATATTCCTCGCAGCTTTTCCTGGTTGTGCCCCTTCGCAGTTTTTCCGCTTCATTTCTAGAAAGATGATCAAGAATTGTTACAATTACCCTATTTCACTATGACGTCACATCAACAATTTATTGTTTAAACGCAAAGGATCATGGTCGTCGGAGGGGCTCAAATCAACGCAAATTCACCGAAAATTGAAAAAAAAAATCTAAAACCCGTATCAATCCACGAAGAGAAGTAGAACAGCCAGAAAACGCTCTGAATATTTTTTAGTACATATTAACACATATTATATCTGAAAACCAGGCCATTTTAGATTAAACTGTTTCGCTAGGAGCAAATTGTGTTGAATTTTCTATTGGATTTGGCGATTCTATCCCCCACATAAACAAGCAGTGACGTCATAATGAAATAGGGCAATTTTAGCCTGCAGTATTTAATATCAATAGCGCAGCGCACTGATTCTAAAAATRGCTTAAAGATTCGGACAAACATTGCATTCTGTTTAACCGCTACGATGATTATACGAACCGATTTTATTATTTTTACTTAAAGTTACAATAATAACCCTTGTAAACTAAGATCAACTGCGATCGGCTGTGAAAATTATCTGCTGAAAGTAAACTTGTAAGTTTGTTTGTCCGAATTTCGCCTTTGTCTTCGTTTTTATGACGTCACGACTGCGCTGYGCTATTGGTTCACTATAGACTTCATGGGAGGGTATGCGTTTTTAAGTGTGATTCTTGCACCAGCGAGGTAAGGTAAAGTGTATTGGTGGGTTGCACTAGTGTTCGTCTCGTGCAGAATGTTCATCAGCTGCATCGCAAGTTTTCAACATAATTATTTCTGGCTGACAGCACATGGTGGTCAGTGTTTGACCACCATCTGGAGCAGACAATGAGATTCAAAAACATTTATCAGCTGAAGCCAGCAATATCAAGGAAAAAAGTATGGTTGCAATATTTTTGTATGTGGTCTGCTCTTTTCTGATATATAAACATTTGAAATATCAATATGCAAATGAGATGACGTAAATTCAAGACTAATTCATTATACAAAAATGCAGTCTTATACCGCAAGTCCAAGAAATCCTGGTCTCAAGAAATGGATYATGCCTTGGAGTCAGAAAGAAAACCGGCCAACTCAGCTCACATGGGGCGACATGAGAGGCGAGCGTTTCGAACACCACGCCATCCCGACTCCCGCAATATATAACATTTACTAACCCAGAATAACCTATTTACTAACAACAGAAAATTTGAAAGAGATATCTTAAGTAATTGTGAAGATATACAACCGAATGATAAAGATTCTGCAACCGTATCATCAAGGGGACTGGGTCTGGCGATGATGGAGTAACCACGAAGTCGAAGAGCTCCCGATAAATTAATTGAATTTAGCTAGTTTTTCCCTCCACCAAGAATGTTATCGGCAAACTTTCCGAAAAGAAAGGCTAGATGAAGTTCAGACTCTACGAATTCATGTGACTCCGAGTCAATGTCTCCAGAAATGAAGAAACAGAAAGAGCAAACGCCAACTGAGAATGCCACCACTGCCATAAAGACAACCTACGAAGTTCTCTTTGCATTAGACTTCGCTCAAAAATTTGCTTCGAAAATTGATTTCACCGTGGAGAAACTAGGAATAATATAGAAACCCAGCTCAGTTCACTTCAAGATTCAGTTAACCAGACTAACGTAACCGTGCAGAAGATGCAGCAAGAAATCAGTACGCTTAAACTTGAAACAATAAAGACAGCGAACAAAACCAATGATCTGGAGAAGAGTAAGACAATAGACGAAGAAAAGCAGAAAGTAGAAGAAATAAACAAATAAACAAATAATAGAAGAAATATCTAAGCTTTACCTACAACATCCCACACACGAAACATACACACGCCGTGAAAACCTCCGCTTCTATGGTATACCCGAGAGCAATGACGAGAATGTCGAGAATACTTTATATGAATTTATGKAAAGCCAATTCAAAGTTACTCACTCAGATGATATAGAATTTCAAAGGATTCACAGGACCGGGCGCCGTAAATATGGACAACCAAGACCAATTATAGCGCGCTTCCTTCGCTATCAAGATCGAGAGCGAGTTTTCGAAAGTCGATCACCGCTTAGGTACAACTATAGAATACCCCGCAAGGAAAAGTATTATAGTGGGCTGCCTACACGCCTACGCGTTTGTTGTAGAAATAAACAATCCAGTACTTGAGGTTAGGTTTAGGGTTAGGATTGGGGAAGGCTTTGTAGGTATGAACAATCGAGTACCTAGYGCGGTATTCTATAGTTATTCCCTTTATTGATGGTGAACTGACAAACTAGATAAGTATAGTATTATTATTATTATTTTCTCTATAACTAATTCAGACTCTGAGGCGAGTTTTTTTCTCTTAAAATTTAATTATGCTAGCTTGAACTCGAATCTCAATTAGTTTACAATAAGGTTGCTTAAGATTGCAAACGTACGAGGAATACGTAACTATGAAAAACGAAAATGTTTGTTTAATTGGTTAAATGAGCAAAAGGCAGACATTTACTGTCTTCAAGAAACGTATAGTACAGAAGAAATTGTAAATCTGYGGAGGAAGGAATGGAAAGGGGAACTTTATTTTTCACAACTCTTATTCTTATTCGAGGTACACTTCGAATTTTGACTGCAAAAATATATCTATAGACTCTGAAGGAAGATTTGTCATACTGGACCTCTCCATACAAAATACTCCGTTTCTTATTGCTAATGTTTATGCTCCAACAAAAGCAAAGGAGCAAAGCCAGCTTTTTCAAAATCTACTTGAAGTTCTAGAATCTATGGTCCATATCGAGCACCATGTCATTCTGGGTGGATATTCCAATGTCGTATTTGATCCAAAACTTGATGGTTCAGGAGGAAYCCCTTCTGTTAAAGATTCAGTTAATGAACTGCAAAATATTTTTTTAAAACAAGACCTTATAGATATATGGCGAACTCGAAATCCGATAGCAAAACGCTTCACATGGAGACACACACACGAAAAACTGTTTATACAAAGGAGGTTGGACTACTGGTTTTTAAGCGATTCATTGCAAGAAGATGTTGATAAAGTAGATATCGTGTGCTCTATCAAGTCCGATCATTCCGCTATAATTTTGAATATAAATAGTATCACTGACAAAAACACGGTCCTTCTTTTTGAAAAATGAATAACAAGTCTACTCCAAGATAAAGTCTACATAGATATGATTAACGATAATTTTTCTGTTTGGCTCCAAGAAAGTTAGTTATGAAAATGATATTAGAATTGTATGGGAATGGCTTAAGTACAAAATCAGACARGAAACAATAACTTRTAGYAAGCAAAAGGCAAAARAGAGAAGACMAAAACTAGCTACTCTTGAAACCAARATAAAAGTTGCAGAAAGAAAATGTGAGGAAACTCAGAGTAAAGAAAGTATAGAAGAATTGCAATCACTGAAAGATGAATATGAATTTGATTACGACTACATAACTAGAGGTTCGATTATTAGATCTAGAGTGAATAGGTACGAAAATGTAGAAAAAAGCAGCAAATATTTTTTGAATACAATCCACCGCGCAAACTACGTTCTGCTAATCAAAATCAATTAATCACTCCCAAAATTGCCAGTAAAACTTACGGTGACAGAGCGTCCTTATCTGCCGCCCCCGCTCTCTGGAACAAAATTCCTCAAGAGATAAGAGCCTTGAGCTCACCTGGTTTGTTTAAATTTAAATTTAAAACTTATCTATTTCGTAAATATTTCGTAATTAGCAATCATTCTATTTCATGTATTATATTGTCTTTTTAAAGTAACTGTAATATTATGTATAGTTCTTAACTTGTTGTTTTTAGTGTAATTTCTTTCTTCTATTTTAAAGTATTAAAACTTGTTAAATACTCAATAAATTATAAAGATTAGAAAAGATATTGCCTCATATTATACACCACAATCAACACGCTTTTGTAAAAGGTAGAGCCCTATTTGATGTCATTCGCACATTGATCATATTTTGGATTTCACTAAAAGSAAAAATATCGGGGCACTGTTAGTTGCAGTTGATTTTGAAAAAGCTTTCGACCCTTKAAATTGGAATTTCTTATTTAAAGTCTCAACGGAATTCAATTTTGGACCATCATTCATAGCGTGGGTCAAGACATTTTATAAGAATATATCTAGTTGTGTCACAGGGAGCCCGGCTTTGGGATTTGTACATGAATAAATGAATAAATAAAGTGCTTTGGGTTTCCTTTRWTGAGATTTGAAACAAGACGCTGATACGTTGAATTTCCGGTAATCGTATTACCAGTAACTTGATAGCAGATTAACGTAACGTATCAGTGTAACGCTAATACGTTAAATTTGAATTATAAGCTGCTCTCGAATTACTTACATTAATCTGCTATCAAGTTACCAAATCTCAATACAGGAAACCCAAAGTACTTTATTGACTTATTTATCATTGGCGTCTTGTTTCAAATCTCAACACAGGAAACCCAAAGCACTTTATTGATTTATTTATTCATGTACAGATTCCAAAGCCGGGCTCCCTGTGCTTAAGGTGGATTTGATTAACCATATTAACTCTGGACGGTTGAATATTATTGACGTAAGGRGCATCGCGCGGTCGCGTTGTTGTTGGTCAGAGTCAAGTACGGAACGGCCGTTAAAGAAGTAACGCTCCTAGGCTATTCCGTTTGACCTTTGGAATGAAAACGTCTGCATTATAACAGCGAACGAAGGAACACGGACACAAGATAAGTAAACAAGTATACTGTTAATTTAATTCAAATAATCGAAAGGAAAAAAAACCTATAGAAATTCAACCACATTCGGTTTCCTAGTGCMCTTGATGTGCATAAGCATAATAATAAGCATGAGCTTGAGCATGAGCATAAGAAAGGAACGTTTTGATCCTTATGCTTGTGCTGTTACAATATTTTATATATAGCATTATAATTGAAGGGGTAGAATCAAACATTTTAATATTTTGTTCTTGAAAGGGAATTTTTTAATAGGCTTTCTTTTAGAGAAACACAGCAGCCTTCCTCCAAGTTATTAATGAACGTTTCAGTCCCTAAGGAGCTCTAAAATTTAGATAGGCACTGCTGAGCTGTTGGGTGTAACGTGGGTAGGATGCTGGCGACAGAGTTTTCTGCCAGCAAACCTGCAGACGTACAATGGTAACACGGTAAAAYGCTTATTTTGATGTGGAATATGGTGATGTTATGGCTCAAATTAGCTGTTAGATCGACAACTAACGAGAAACTTTTATTTCTCTTGACTTTAAAGGTCTGGGCCAACTCTCTGTCTTTAGATTTTACGCTTCTGATCAGGTAGAAATCAAATAGGTAATTAATTATTAACTACTTTAACAATTATTTATTGTATTATCATGGATTATACTGAAACTTAGAGTATATCGGCAATTTAAACGTGCGTTTTTAACAAAGAAACTATATTAAGTGGGAATTTCTTTTGCTTAATGATAAAATTAAATGAAAATAAATAAAATTAACATTAACGTAATTTTAAACCAACGACCATATAATAGCGTTGGGTGTTAGTGTTTTCAATAGATATAACCTTCGAAGAGCGAGGAAGGGGACGGGAAGTACGAGCAGTTTTCTCTCGAGAAGAGAAAAGTGTGGTTAGACTTTTGCTCGAACAGTTTTTTTTAATAACAAACACTGACTTACGAGAAACTCGCGTATCTCGCTGTTTTCTTGCGAGGAAGTCTTGAACATAACAAATAAAATAAAACAATAAGAACAGAGCACAAGCAGTAAGACCATAAAATAAAAAAAGTTGTTACTGAAAAATAGCTATTTAGTGACATAGTTATTAACTATGTTAATGACTAATAGTTGCTATCAAACCGGAACAATCATTACACAAAGACACAAATGATCTCTTTGGTGTAATGAATGTTCTGATTACGTGATAGCAGCTATTAGTCACAAAGTAAAAAGCTACTACGTGTCAGTATCAACTCCGTTTTYATTCATGACTTTATAGTGGTTATTATAAACGCCTAAAACAAAGTTACTAAATAGAGTGTAATAGTCGGATAAAAACAACTGGTTTAAGAAAACCATGCGCGCAAAGCGTGCAAAGGCACATGGGATACTAGTGGATCCTCCTGTGCACTGAATGGTAATCTTGAGGCATTTGCCTAGACTTATACGAAGTTGGGAGAAAATCGTAAAKGCAGATTTTGAGATGAATTGGAGGCGGAGGTTTTTACAAGTTTGTTCTGTTACAATACATCTAAAGATAAATAACCTGGAAAAATCCCCGACCGTCTAAATCTTTTAGGGATATCAGGCTACTGTTCTGCAAAATTCACGTCATAAAATGCCTTGGAACTCCGTCGGCGTAGATTAACGGAAACATCAAAATTTGTAAAATTCGTCAACATTGYTAACTGAACTTGAACGTCTGTCTCTCCGGTTTCAAAATTTTTCAATGATTTTTTTTTAACTTCCGTAAGCAAATTCAGTGTTTGCAAAACATTGTGCGAGCGCCGATTCGATTGAAGTTCGATTGAAGGCACCCTAAAAAAATTCCGAAGTTCAGTAACTTCGCGCTCAAGATTCTCGGCACTGTTCTTGTTTTCGTGATCACATGTTTCAGCATTTCTGCATGCAATTTTAATATTACTATGAGACAATTATCATTATGTGGTCACGCTCTTTTCTATTTCTYGCAATTTGCAAGTAAAAAAAAAGTTTTTAATGCAGCCGAAAACTGACCGCAGCGAAAACTTTGCTTTACACAAGACACGCGTTCCCATTCCCGGCGAAGCGGCCGTAGCCTTACTTGGCTTCGCCTCGGAAAACATCACCATCTTGGGACCACAAAAGACACGGTTTCCTTTGGTCCCAGTCAATGACAGCCATGACAGGAGGCACAAAAWTAGTCTTTTCCCCCTGAGAAACTGAATTCTTTCTCATGTAAATCAGATGAGACCAGATGCCATTGTTCCTGCCTCCTGTAATGGCTGCCATCACATGATGGYGCAAAGCCTGTATTGCTAGGTACAACACCTTACCTGACGTCACAGTCATTACATATTGGAAGCGGTATAAACCTTCATAGCTTAAGGACGCATCACTCAAGCCAAKAAATATTTTACCATTCAACTATTTACTTGATGTAGAATCAGCACTGAAAGTATTTTTGTCGAATTTTTAATGTGCACTTTTAAGAATATGTTATTACTCAAACATAACATAGAAAAGCTAACTGGCTGCGTACTTACGATGAGCTTTTGGTTAGATTTGATATCTCAAGTTCTGCAGAAAAAAAAAGAAAAAAAGAACACATTAAAAAAACAGTGGTAATATTGAAAGTAAGCACGTCCAAAAACCAATAAAAATTAATTWAAAATGCCTGCGTTTTCAAAACTAAAAGCCATGCATAGTAATCTATATCCAGTGGTCTTCCTTCCACTCGTATGRGCTAAGGTATGGGCATTACGCCTCTGCGCTTGAGGAAAGGATACTACACCCATAGACAAAACCCCAAAACTTAAAATCCATAACCTCAAACTCCATCCCTTAAACTGACCGATTCCACGAAAACATCAGAATTGTGATCATTGTTTTCTGCCAACCCTTGAGCCCGAAATGGTTTCCCGTTCGACTGCACACAGGGGATAACCCATCGGATTCTCGCCGGGGAGATGAAAGCCTTGCACGATTAGCGGGAGGATGCTAAAAATGAAACAAAACGAGMGGTACTTTAAGGGAAACGCAATGAGGGAGAGGCCCAAGGGTTGACAGACTTATGCGCCCGTACGAGGACCGACATGGAACAAGGCTCCCATTATAAGACTGTCAAACCCCGGAGACATGGGGTACGGGCAATTCAACAAAAGGATTTTGTAATGGTGCATTACCATAACCCAGTCGAGTGTGAGTTAATTGTGGTATAATTAAGCTTGAAGCTATTGCTTGAATGTAGTTGGTATCTATCTGGAATAAGATCAATTATATCGGGTGGGTCCCGAGTGTGCAACCTACGTTACCGACTAATCCCAATATTTCTTATGAACCGAAAACCGAAACTCAAAAAAAAAAAAAAAAAATTATCAAAACAAAAGAATTTTAATGCCGCCAAACAGCATAATACGCATTCCACAACCGGACAACAAAGATTTCATGCCCAAAGACTAAAGCCATGGATGAAGCTGTGCTCAGCATAACACAGGCACATAAAGTAACAACAGAACGCACAGCACAACTGCATGCGTACAACGAGAGGCATAAATAAAGAAAACCAAGTATGTCACGACAAACAAAAACTGACCCTGAAAAGAGCTTAGGAAGCCATCATAAAAACGTGCACGTGAAAAAACAAACGCATAGCAAAACTGCAGGCGTAAAACACAAAAGCCACGAATAGCGAAAAACCCAACATATCATGACAAACTACAACTTGCCATGAAAAGATTTTTAACGAAGCCAGCATAAAAAATTGCACGTGAAAGAACAACAAACGCATAGCAAAAACTGTATGTGTGAAACAAAAACGTCATGAATAAAGCTAAGCCAAACATCTCATGACAAACAATAACTGGCTCTGAATAGATTTTTTAACGAAACCAGCATAAAAAAGTGCACGTGAAATCACAATCAACGCATAGCAAAAAACTGCATGTGTAAAATAAAAAATCAAAAGTCATGAATAAAGCTAAGCCCACCCAAATATATCATGACAATCAAAACCTGACCCAGAAAAGATTTTAACGAAGCCAGAACAGCAGAGAGATGGCCAAGGAACCGAAAGAGGGCGTGAGAAAAAAGTATGAACAAAGTAAAACCACGGAGTGCACAACACAACAAAAACAACTGACTAGCAAACATTACTATTAGGACTACAAAACGTACAAACCAAGGGAAATTWACTGCCACCGTTAGGACAGTTGAGCTAAAACTTGATAAAACAGGTAATCCTGTCACGAACATTAGCGAAACCAGGCAAGTATCGAAAAAAAACCGACAAATTAAGTAAAACAGGAATATTACCACAAGTTCACCTTGTACTGGTGGTGGGGGTCTTGGTTTGCGTTTTCCCGGTTTTGCTGACCAACAATTATATTTACTGGRACATCGGGGAGTACGGGAACTTGTACTTCTGGATTGTGCTTAGCCATGTTAAAATCAAGCTACCAAAGAGGAACATATGTCGCAACGGGGTATAGAACGTGGTTTCTCACTGTTCATATAYTCGTGTGGCGGAAGACCGCTGAGCATAGTTTATGCTTAATACTTTCATCATATAAAAGTAAAGTAAAATAACAAGGATAGTTCCTTCATGACAAAGCTGCAAGGATTGGAAAGAGGCTGAAATAGCTCCGGAATCGCTGTCCTTTAAGACACTAGTGAATTTKACAAAATACGAGAGGTTTATCTACGAGTTAGTGGGAAACCAAGTTGACCAGAAAGACGTTTCCTAGAAGGTGTGGTTTTTAGCAGGATTTTCTTAATAGATCATTTGGCCGTACTAGCCTTAGACTTGACCTTCTAACTCCAAAGTGAAGTCGGTTCAGTGTGAGGAGGAGTTATCTAGGTTCGTCTATATATAGTTAAACCTAATTTTGTGGATAAGGTCACTAAGTTGATCCCAAGTTTTGCTTTACACAAATACTGTCGTTTTACGTTATGGCTAAGAATGGTCAGTAAATATTATTGAGAATCAATTAACCATCGAATATCAATGGCTCATAGCCATCTGTAAAATAATTAAAAATCTTTCAATCGTTTTATCAATTCTGTGTAATTAATCAAATTTCWAAAACCGTTTTTAGGAATTTTCCACCGATGGGATTTTTCGGGACTTTAAGTATGATATTTAGGCGACCCCAACTGTCTTAAATAGTCTAAACCACAGGATAACTGAATTGAGTTTATGGTTCTATGCCAGCTGAAGAGATATTTAATTTGACAGTTGCAAGAGCCAATGACATACACCTTTTCAGTGAAAATGCGCGTGCTTAATCACACAATTGCTACGCCATCRAACGCGCGCCGATGATATTTTTTACTAACTTTTTTGCTTTTTTACCAAAATATGTTATTGTTTTTAATCATTTTACTGGTCGGCATTGTCACGGTTTTTCGTGGAAATRTTTTCTCAGAAATGGCGATAGTTATGATTCCTCGTCGTCCAATTTTGTTTATCCCTCGTATGATTAATGAAGATCTTATTATACACTCAACAAAATTACTCGGCTCTGATTGAACAAGAGGAGCACAATTAAATCCCTTATAGTACACTCAACAAAATTACTCGACTCTGATTGGTCGAGAGGAGTACAATTATAGCGTTAATTGTACTACGTAGGAGTACCGAATTAAGTCGCTATGGCAACACGGACAAAACAATGTCAAAACAATTATTTTCTATCATTTTGTACTTAAAAAACATATAATTAAATTTTAAGCYRTAAGAACTAATATTTTTTATGCATTTCAGTTGCGCAATGAGCTGAAAATCGGCCGCCAAATAGACAAAGATGAACGGCGTCTCTTCGCATTTTTTACTGAAATTTTGTTGAGTGAACTGTAAACAAAAAATCGCACGATCTTCTCGTACAATTTGGAATTAATAGACACTCGTAATGTTTTGAAAATTCTTTAATTGCACTCGCCTAAAGGCTCGTGCAATTACAAGAACTTTCAAAACATTACTTGTGTCTATTAATTTCCAAATTGTACTCGAGATCGTGCGATTTCCTATACAAATTGTACTCTGTAAAGTCCCAATTAAGTTATAAGTTGCTCAATTTTGTTGAGTGTATTATACACAAAAATTGCACAATCTTCTCGCACATTTCGTAATATATAGATACTCGTGATATTTTGAAAGTTTCAAATAAGCCTGAAGCGAGATGACGTTTTACCCACGACTCTACACCATAATAGTTWTTAAAATTCTTTCATATTAAAATTTTTGATTCCCTAGAGAATACATTAACAATAGTCGTAATTAAAGAACAAAAGCAATGTGAAAAGGATTGTGGTCTAGAGACGGGRGTAAAACGTCATCTCGCTTCAGGCTTATTAGAGTCGCCTAAACGCTCGTGCACTCGTACATATAATTTCCTAATAGACCGTTTTCTCAAGGTTACGTGCGCATCCAATTTGACGGGCCATAAAACTGAAAAACGCGAATTCAGTAAAATTGAGAAGCCAGTTTTATATTCAAAGAGGAGAATAATCGATTTTATGAATTCTTATCGAAAAAAAATTCATAGCAATGCATGATAAGACTCGTGTTCTGGTATCGTGGCCCTTCAAGTTCCTTAAATTTGGATGCGCACGCAACCTTGAGAAAACGGTCTAATGTACTCGAGATCGTGCGATTTCCACTCAGTCCTATAGACCTAATCGGCTAACGTGTTACTATGTACGTTATCCYCAATTCAAACCTTCTGGGAATAGAAGCGTTTGTCTCTACGAATTCAACTCTGTAACCAAGATATAACGAACAATGAAATTTATTCCCAGAAGGTTTCAATATTGGGTGGTAACGTACATAGCAACACGTTAGCCGATTAGGTGTATTGCCATTATTTATCAGATATTGAAGCGAGGTCACTTACCGTCACTTATGTTATTATTTGACTCGGACTTTTTCAATAGTATCTTGGAAGGAACTAGGCCAAGTTTATCAACCGTGCTAGTATACACGTACATCCAGTTTTTATCATCTTTCTTGTTAGATACCAGGTAGACTATTTCTCCCTTTTTGACTGACAAATGGTTTTTATCTTTGCCCTTGAAATCCTCTGTCACAATGTACCTATCTCGGTTTCTCTGTGGAATAGTACCAAATAGAATGTTACTTTCGCAACAGATGACTCTTAGGTCAGAAATGTATATCAATATGTCATATGCCGGCATAGCCGACTTAAATTGTAATCTATTATGGGAACACTATAAACTAATTACGATTTTCAGACGACAATACCACAAAATATTGACGGCTAGTTGGGAGAAAATATATTTGGTGTTGAGCGGAGTCGCGAAGCGTCGGATTACTGTGGTTACTTCAAAGCTGACAACCCACACTGCACTACACAAGATATTCAACAGAAAAACAGTAAAAATAAGCTACTCTTGTATGCCGAACGTTAAAAACATAATTGACAGTCACGACGAACAAATCATCAAACAACACTCTATTGAACATAATGAAGCTATCCCTCCATGCAACTGCAGAAATAAAGCCAATTGTCCACTCACAGGTGAATGCCGTGCATCCAACATCATTTATCAAGCCACAGTAACCACAGATGACAAAACAGAAACCTACGTAGTTCTAACAGAAACTGAATTTAAAACCCGATACAGAAATCACACATCATCTTTCAGAAACGAGAAACAAAAAAACACAACCGTGAAGTCTCAAAATACATCTGGAACTTAAGGTGGCTCCATGTGGTTTTATCTGCGCGCTACCATGCAGCTTCAAATCACAAATACGCGGACGCAAACAATCCAACGCTAAAATTTTTTTTACACGTTTCAAGGGAAAGATAAAATTTTCGAATGAGCATGTTTTTACTGAAATCGGAATTAATAAAAGATCGCTGTTAAGCATTTGCGCGTTTACTTTATTGCCTATTTTCTCCAATTTTTGACCTAGGATTTTAAATTGCTTTTGAGATATTGGAGGATAAGTAATTTGCTCAAGGTTTAGGAAATTTAAAGAAAAACTGTGAGAGCATTTTCGAGATATTTCATATTAAAGTTTTAAAGTATAAAAAATTTGCAGATACAAAACACGTTAGTAACTTTGTGGAAAAGTAGTTTATTTCCTCAGTTTTAAGATCCTAAGTTTATCTAAAGAAGTTGGTAAATCACTTTGGAATATTGGGTAAAAATCGTATAGAAATCGTACCATTTGACATTTCAAAATATCAGGTCCACTTATCTTGGCTATGAGCCGTATTTTTGGACTAATGTGTGATGTTTATTAACATGCTCATAAATTCAAATCTACTCGATGAAGTTTTTGAAAATTTAGTCAACATGCAATATATAGGCAACGAGATGTCAAAGTTTCATTTCCATTGAATTATTTTAAAGCTTTAAAACTTTTAAGTGCCCCTAATGCCTGATTACAAACCAATTTAGAACCAATTCCTCACATTGTCATAAACGCGTTTTTCAAATTTTGTTTTTCGTTTCAAACGAATGGGCACTTTAATCCGCATCGAGGACAGTACGGGACGGCGATTCTCTTTAGCCCTTCTCGATTTGATTTTTCATATCTTTTGTCCTTTTTTATCACATTCGCGTAAATTCCGGTGTGCAGAACAAGCCGGTCAACGCTTTAAAATTGCTTTCCGAAAACGCTTCCGAACTATGTAATTTAGACGCCCTTCGTGGCGTGAACTCGGGCTACCATAGTGTATTTGACGAAGTATAAGCACTTGSAGCCCAGCCAAGTTTTTTGRTATGGTTTGCATAATGATGGGAAACAGCAACTTCTCAAAGGAATACCATTAGTATTATTGGCATTTGAATTTGTAATATTACTGTTGTTTCTTTGCTGATTATCATCTGCAGCTTTGCCAATCACTTCACTCTGTTCAGTGTGGAATTGTGCATTAAAAGGATTTTCAGTAGCATTGCTTTGTATGCATGTCTCAGTAATACACACTCCTCTGAGTTCAAATAAACCTGTTARTTTGTCATATAAATTTTGGAAGTAATTTATTAAAGCATTAAAGTCATCAACATCAAGAAGTACACAAGTACCTTGAGGATGGGGGAGACCTGAAGGATTAAGAATATGAGAGTCAAATATCCTAAATCTCCCATCGCCATTACAGCAAATAGCTACTGCATTACATTGAATAGTTAACAGGTATGACTGGTAATTTTCTTCAATTAAAATTTGCAAAGCATTRCCTAAGGGCATGCACTAGAGTAAAGGAAATCGACATTAGATGAAATATCATGTATATACCAGTAATGATGAAAAGGTAAATTATACACCGTCAAAAGATGAAAAAACTTACTGACGCCCAATTGGACACTCTTAGTCCCAACGGGATTAATGAACGCTTTACTTTCAACTAACCTTTTCTTTTGTCTTTTGATTGTTTGTTTTTGTTTCCTTGC